CAGGAGATTGTCATCCATTGCACATATTTCTCTCTTTCCCTCATCCCCTACATTTATTTGTTTTGGTGTTGTTTTTTTTTTATTTTTTATCTAACTTTTTTTTTTTTCTCTCTTTCACTCTTTTTTCTTGTAGTTCTCAGTTATAATATCAGATTGGAATATTTAAGAGTGTCTCTAATGAAACAGGACTTGTGCTGCCAGCAGTCATTTTTCTAAGGTGTAATCAACTAACTGATATAAGTAGCTGATTATAGCAGCAAGTTCACTCTACAGCAGTAAAGGGAGACTTAGTGTTCCCATTACAAGACTTGTTATTGAGAGGTTTATAGCTCAGTTATGAAAAAGACAGTCCCTGAAATTTGGCATTTGTTATTACTGTAGAGAGATGTTTTTCTGAGTTCAGTATTTAAAAGTCTGGTTTATTTTACTGTATTCTATTTCATTCTTATGGTCTATGGGCATAGAAACAGTAATAATGAGAAAAGATATGTGCTGATACTAGTTCTAGTGGCAAATAGCAAAGGTAAATAAATAGTTTATAACAGAGCAGAATAAAAATTGCTACCCAGGTCTTGAAGGAGCTGTCCTCTGGGCAACTTTGAGACCATCTCACAGTACACAGACATAAAGCCAGTACTGCATAATATGCTGCTGTTGGTTTAGCTGTTGTGGCCCTGAGAAGGCCTGAGTGTTGTAGAATCTGAGGTCTCATAGCATCACCAGGGCTTGGACATCCCTGGAGGCTCCAGAAATTCTTGTGAATGATGATGAGTCAACTTAAGTTCTGAGACGATTTCTTCTGTGTCTTCTTTCCCTTGAGAAGGTCTAACTCATGATTGATGCCTTATTAATCATACTTATTATATCACAGTAAGTTCATGCTGTGGCCTAACCTAGAGGAAACCTTCAGAAGAGGAAGGCGTTTTCTGGTTGTCTCAGACTGCAGATGTCTCTGTGGCTGCTGTGTTCTGGTCTTTGTACTCTTTTCTTGGAATAAATTTTGTCTTTGGTAGGAATAAATAGGGTTTATTTTACATTAAGATAATATCTTAAAGCATATTCATAGGTTGTTGGAAATTCTATGTGGGGACAATAAAGTGGTGTGTAGCATTGGGAATCTAGTCAAAGATCAAGAGAATATTATGCAGGTATAATTAGAAAAGGAATTATATTAATGTAGCATTGAAGGACAATGAAAATAACAAGAGAGATGGAATGCAGAGGGCATACACTTTGTGTTATACATTGGATGAGAACATAAACCCATACAAATCTATAATTTTAACAATTTCATTAACTTTTTGAAGTTGTTTTTTGTGCATAAGGCTTGGCTTGTGTTGACATTTCCTTCCTTTGGGATCACTGCAATGGAGCTATCTTCCATGTTTCAATAAACTATTCTTTTTTTCTCCCCCTTTTCCTTTCCTTTTGAATGAAATATGTGCTGATCTTTAAGAATATGAGCTGCCTCATTTATTGCAACAGAAATACTTATGTGCTTACAGATAAGGAAGCAGGGAAAGGTATGCAAGAATTGCCTTCTTTTTAATATATATAAAGGCCTTCAAATAAAAGATAAGCTGTTTACATTTTTAGTAATGTCAATATCCTATTGGGTTTGGGTATGTTGCTGTTTTTTTAGCAGTTGTGGACTGGTTTATATCATAGTCATTTCTAGGGGATTTTAATTTATTTTTTTTAATCATTTATGCTTCATTGAGTCCTGGGAATGATGTAAGGGTTCTTTTGACATTTCTAAATGGAATTTCACTTATCTGTATGTGTGTATTTCTCTGCATATATGTTTTGCTAGAATGTTTCAGTATTTTTCTTTACTGCTGCAGCAAATCTTTAAATTTTCTTTACCACTTTGCTTGCTTTTTTTTTTTTTTTCTGGGAAAGACAACTTTTAAAATACAGATGGGTATTCAAAAATCTCTGTTTACTATTCCCAAATTATTCTGGTTTGAGGTGCACAAATACTAGAGAAATGTTGTTTACTTGAAATTTTCCAAGATGTCCCAAAGGCAGCCACCTGGAAATTTTAAAGATGGAAGGCTAAGGTATATATGAGGAGCAATGTGGTGGCTCTCTCTCTCAGGATCATCCTAAGAGACATTGTTTATAAATGGGTTATGAGCTTCAATTGTTTTACTAGGATTTTTATTTGGGCATATTAAAGCTAGGTATATTATAATTGACCCACACTTCCTGCAGTTGCTGAGCCAGTCTGTTCCCTAACTACCTGAGGACGTTCTCACAGCATGCTTGGTAACTGTGTAATTTGGGAATGTGAGTTCACGTTCAATGATAAGTTTGTCTTTTCTTCTAAATAATAAAAAACTTCCAGGAATATGACCACACATAGGAAATTTCCAGCCCTGATTTTCCAATGCCCCTTTTGTTGGCTGTTGTGTTTTTAATGTGCTACCATGTTAAACCATTGCTTTGCTAACACGTCCCTTGGGCTGCAGTCTGGAGACACTAGTCAGAAGATATTTCCTTGGTTGAATATATGCAGAATGAAAACTATTGTCATTTGAAAGCACCACTGCATGGGGAGGGAGGGCAGAAGGGAAAGCACAGGAGGAGGATGTTGATTGCGACTGACATGTGCCTTAATATCTGATGTGGCTTTCACACTTGGAAATATTCAGGACTCCATATGTTCCAAAAACCCCACTGAACAGTGCATATAACATTGCCTTTATCATTCTTTAATCTCAGTTTAATTGCTGTGGTCAAATTACCCCACACTTAATAACCCACAGCTTGGTATATTATTTAATATGGTTGACACACTTTGTTTTAAATGTCAGTGCTGGTAAAGCCCTGAAGTTGGCAATGCTGTGCATGATAGATGGCAGAGGAGATGGATCATCTGTTCTTTGTCTGTGCTGTTGGTATGTTGGCTGCAACTTTTTCAACTGTGACACTAGACTCTTGCCAAACCCAAAGCTACTGAATGGGTAACATTATCCCTTGTATCTGATCTTTTGTAGCTGATCATTCTCAATTTCTGTAGCTGTTTTTACAGGAATGTGTAATATTATATCACCCAAATTGAAGTGGTGAACTAGTGTTGTTTAAAATGGGTTGATTTAATTATTTCAGCACACAGTGGCACCTTTGTTATTAAAGGATTTTCACAAAGCAGTACATAGTCTAATTATGAATTTACACAAGAGACCGTAACAGCATCTGCTGGGTAAATAATATACATTTGTAAAATTGTCTAGCTACTAATTTACACAGCCGACCACTGAGACACTGAAAGGCTGTTGCATTCTGTCATGTCAGCTCTCAAACACTTCCAAGCATTCCTGCTTCTCTGTACAACTCTTAACAAAATAATGAAAATCACGTAACTAAAACTCCCTTCTAGAAAAACCAGTTCTGTTTGGAGTTGGTTATTTCAGCTGCAATTCCATTCAGAGCTGCCTTCTTCACAGCTTGGTAGCAATGCACAGGAAGAGCTACATCACCTATGTTCCAGGGCCTGCATACATTTACACAAGCATGCAGGTTAAGGAGGAGGTGTACATTTTCATTCTGGATTTGTTCTGCCGGTGCATACCTATTCTAAAGCCAGATTAGGTGGTCTCCAGAGACTTTCTCCCTGCATAGGAGAGTTTAGGGTAAGAGATGTGCCACTGTCACTCCTATGTCACATCCCTGCAACTATGGACTGCAGCCATGACATGCTTATCTGAATAATCTTTGCCTACAATCTTGGTCCCTTGCAGCTATAAAAGGTGGGTGCCAGTCACAACAGGTCAAGGGCTGCACTGACTTGTTCTGGAAAGCTGGTTGGTCCCATTTCTGCAGATGCAATCTCAGTTCGCTCATTGAGAACAGTTTGGCTTTATTTTGGCGTCTGGGTGTTGATACAGAGGCACAAATTACCCTCTTTTGAGAGCAGCTATAATAGAGTCATGCAGCTCCTGAGTAACAAGATGATGACATCTGGGGAGTAAATTGCTGGTCTAAGGTAAGTTTTTTGCCAAATCAGTGAGACTGACATTCTTAGCCTGGAACCCGTTAGTGATTAGTGAGAATAAGATTTAAGATTTCTCAAACCCACTACATGCAGCTTTGCAAATTGGAAAGAAGTGGTTTAGCTATGGCTTAGTGCTAAGAAGAGAGGAGCTCAGTGTTAGGAAATGCCTTGAGTATCTTAACTATCCATGGAGATGCAATTGGCTACCAAAGCAAAACTAAGCAAAACTGAAAAAGAGTAGAAAAAAATGTAAAGAAGCATATACTGGGTGATCCTATCTCTTCCTGTGTTTCTGGCACACAGTAGATGAATGTAGAAGGAGAACATAATGGTTTTATTGCCATCTGTACAGTAAGATGCCCATCAAATTGAAGTCTTATCTTTTTGCCGGCGGGAAACTTGACAAGCTCTCCCATAGCAAATCCCTGTATTTCCTCACAGCTGTCTCACCTATGTAAGCCACAGAGCCTTTTCCAGCAATGCTGAGAAAAGATTTAAGTCTACAGTGCAGGAAAAGGTCTCCTTCCCCATTTATGTCTGAATTCTACATTAGCAGGCTACATCTGAGGAAGCAAATTTGGTCTGGTTTTCCCAAGCTCTCTATTTTCCATTTAAACATAATGCTTAGAAAATGATCCTGTGCCTCCACATTAAAGCTTGTGTTTCACATTAGAAGCGCATTCATGAAGCACTATTTGTCCAAAAAAGAAAATCAATATAGCTATTTTTCTTGATTCCTTGAGTATAGCATGTGACAAAGGTGGGATGAAAGAGTGGGAAAAGTTGGAAATAGGGACTCTGCTTCCTCAGCAGGAGTGATGATACTCATCAGCTGTGCCTCTTGCTCCTGCATCTGTGGTATACTTTCAAAATAATGAGAGTGTTTTTGGGGAAGAAAATTACCAGAGCTTCAAAAGAAAAAGAGTCTTTTGAAATGTGTGATATGGGACTGTCAACCTATTGGAAGGCTTCTAATAAATACCTGAGCAGTTTATATATAAGATCCTTTTAGCAGTGACATAATAGCTGGAAAAAGGAACAAAATATTTATTGATTGTGTGCATTGTCTCTTTTGCTTCCATACTGTCTTCATATTGAAGACAATGCGGCACATTGTTGGAGGAGGAGAAATATATTTTTCTTTGTTTCAGGCAGTAAAATATCTTTACAAGGCTCTCAACTCTTGTTCAAGTGTATCATTCTCTTTGTGATAGCTTCATAAACTAAGCATTGCTTGAGAGATTCGAGGATGAGTCAGGCTGAAAGAAAATGTAATTAATATTTTACTGTAAATGGTTTTGGAGTAAGATTATCCACGAAAATCATAACTGTTACCCAGCTGTGCGTAATGAATGGTGGTTGGGGTGGGTAAATGCGGACTTGAGAGAGAGAAGAACAGAGTTTAAGATGAAAGAAGCTTTCAGTGAAGGCAGGATCATAGCAAAAATGTAACAGGAGAAGTGAAATATAATTAGGAACGTGACATCAATATTGGATTTACAGAATGTTGGCTAGCAGGTGGGTGGAGTTTATTTGACTTTGTTTCAGCTGCAGTATTGAATCACACAGATGCAATCTTTAAAATTATTTTAGACTGTAAGAAAAAAGTAACAAGAATGCTCAAGTACATGAGCTCCCACCACCAGCATGTGTCCTCACTCGTTCTCTTGTAGCTCTAATAATCACCGCCCAGTTAAGATGGTTCTTGCTCTTCCTCTGTCATTCCTTGTTTCTGCAGTGTTGTACTGGAAAGTGGAGGGGATATTGGGTTCCTTTCATCACAATGACAAGTCAGGGAAACATCTGTTTTAAAAAAATGTGCAAAAGTTTTGAAAAAGAAGTATTTCTTTTTCTTTTTGTGATTTTTGTTTATGTCTGTTAGCCACCTGTTTTTATTGAAATAAAATTTATGAGTATAATATGAATGGAAGATGTTTGAAAGATTGAACTGTAGAGTAGTCAGAAAGGAAATCTATGAAAGGCAAAATGTCCACCAGAATGGACAACACGAGTCACTATCAGGACTCCAGGGTGGAAGTATCAAGATAGAAACATTTGTTTCAGTTTATGAACTTTTTTTGCAATTCAGCTGAAATATCAGCACCTCCTGTGATATGAGCATCAGATTTATTATCAGCTTCTCAGGAATTGCAAAACAGCCTAACTCCACCCAACTGTTAATAAATCAGGTGCTGAAAGCACTTCAAATGAGAGCTTTGTGGAAGAAACAAGTAACTCATGAGGATCAAAGGTTTAAGTGGTCATTTCCCCTTTTGGCATAATCAAAATATATTTTCAAAAAAAGAAGAAAAGAGAAAAACAAACAGAATAAGGAATCCTGTGACATGATGTTTTTATCAGACTAAGACAAATATTAAAGTGGGAGTGGGCATCAGTAATTCATTCACTCTCATTCTGTAACCCTGAGTTCTATAACATGGCAGAGTTCGTAAAGCTTACAGATTTAAACCAAAGCCCACTGAAGTCAGTGAAAAAAAGAGTGTTCCTTTGGATTTCACTGTTTTGGATCTGTTGGAAGCTGCTTGCAACAACCACCCACTCTCCAATGAAGCTGTCCTGCCCCTTCACTGTATTTCCCTGTACTCCACTGACATTACACACATGCAAAAAATCAGCTGAAGGCCAGGCTCCTGATAAAAGAAATTGCCAAAAAAATATTGTAATAGCCACCTTCCTGGATTAATTAATAAAATTACTTGCTCATCACTATAGATTACATGCTGGGCATTTAACTGGTATGCTATAGGGAAGGGGTGAGAGAAAAGTTCAGAAGTGGGTGGATATGTGTGGAAGAGAGAGGAGGACACAGGTTAAGAAATATGAATATCGATTAACGATTGCAGGAATATTCTTTTAAATAGCACATAGCTCTGATTTGCATGAACGGCATTTGAGTGGCTAATAAGCTGAAGCTGTCAGCAATGTTAACATTGACAACTTTACAGGAAATATGTTTTCACAAGCTCTAACTCTGCTTTTTGCCCTTGCAGTGGGCAGAAACTGTAGGGATTTTATTATTCAGTGTCAGCAAGTCTCCTACTGTGCTTGTTTCCTCTGTCTTCTTCCTGGTGGTCTGCAGTAGAAGACAAGTGGTTCTTATGAACTGGGTGCTTTTTCTTTTTCTGGATGACCATTCAAGTCATAAAGAGAATGAGAAAGAATTTTTGGATGATTGTGTCACCATGTGGCAGTCTGGATGGCTTTTGTATGTCAGAGTAAGTATGGGCTTCATGGGTGTTTGTGTTACCCTTAGTAGATGATTTGTTGGTATTGTGGGCAGCAGAAGCAACCACAGGAGGAGCATTAAGGTGAACAGGCAGGGCTGAGGCACTTCTCCCACACTCGGTAGTGAAGCAAATCTGAGTCACAAACAGCAGTGTGGGTGGAAATGGTGTTTTGGAAGAATTCATGCTTTCAGGCTTCCAGTTGTAATACTGAGGAACAAAAGCTCTTTTTCTTTTGGAAACTCAGGTGCAGTACTACTAATCTGAGCTGTAAATAGTGAAGAAGGGAAACCAGTCATGTTCCTGTGGTAGCAATGTACACCTGAAGTCAGTACAGAAATGGATGACTCACTGGGTCAATGTGTTACTCTCTAGATTTTACTGTTTGCACATGTGGTTGCTTTTGTGTAAGAAACTGGAGAGCAACCTAGTTTATACTGGATTGAGGGCATTAGGAAATCTGAGGAGTGGAGTGGCTGAAAGCTGTGCAATTTCAGTTGGGCAAACATCAGTCAAGAAAAGAGTGTTTGCTGTCCCTCTGCTTCATTTTTTCAGGATATCTGACATTAGGAATGCAATGTCCTTCAGATGTGACAGATCTATTCACTCCCAACGCTGTGCTCTAAGAAGAGCCATTTCAAGATTTGGAGTGGTTTTTCCAAACACAATATGGTTACAGCAGTTCCTTTTAGTAGGGATTCACAAAAGGTGCTGGTTTTGGTGTTTGCTCTGCAAACCAGGGGAGTCTTCACCAGCCAGGCTGTGGTGTGCAAAATCAGAGATGCTGCTGATTCAGCCCAGAGGCTTGTTTTCAGAAAGCTCATGTGGGGTTTGTTTTATTACTGACACTGGGAAAAATGTTTTTCAGCCTTATGCTTTAAAATTAGTGTTGAGCTATTTTGTTTAGAATTTACTTTTCCACTCACTGACTTGGTAGCAGAGCTGATGCTGGCAGCAGAAGGGTCAGTATTTCAATCTTTAGCCTTCTTTGGAGTATTAAAGGTACTTGAGTATAACAATTCTCAGTGCAGGATGCACCTCTTCTTAACTGACTTTAAAGGCAGTATAATGCAGCTTGGGCTCCCTTTCTGAAGGCTGGGAAGTACTTCCCACAAAGTCTGTGAGTCTGTGCTAGCCCAAGGTACACATCTCTCCCTGAGAAAACTTTATGCACCTCACACTGTGAGCTTCCAGCTCTGCAAAATGGCAACAACTTGATCTTTCCCAAGCTTAATTAATCCGCTGTTTGTTAAAATCGTGAATGCCTAACGTGGGATAATCTGATAGAAGCTTTTTGATCTCTGTAGATAACAGGAAATTTTAGTCTGTGTAGTAAGGAAAACTAGGAGATCTGGAGTCAGGGAATCAGGTTTTCTATAGCTGATACACGGCCGCACTGTTTTTTGATACAGAAGTGTTGGGAACATTGATGGGTGAAGTAGACACATTCACTGTGTGTAGTGATTCTGTCAGCAGACCTCATGTTATACAGTCAGCCTAATAATCACAAGTGCTTCTTCCTATTTAAAACCCAGAAAAGGAACTGACATCTTTTATCAGAAAGCCAGACAATCTGTATCCTGTGACAATTCTATATTATGGATCCCAAGAGGGTTTCCTCACATTCGTATTTTATCATGGAAATCACAACTAGTGCTGTTTATTTTCTATATCTCCACACAGTTTTGAAGGTGTTGCCAGCAGGACCTGCTGATACTGACATGTGTTGTTGTCACACTGCAAGATCTGATAGAAAGCCTCATATATACAAATATCAGTGTTTTCTTGGATCTTCCTTTGCTTTCAGTGGGCTTGGAAACACTGGTGCTAGTTAATTCACATGCTTTGTCTGCTTTGTAGACCTTTTTCCTACTTCTAAGAAACAACTTGCTCCTGGTAGGCTGGAGTATTGGAGTATCTGTCTCTTCTGCTGCTATTTTTACGTTAGGTAGATTCCTACATGTCGTTTTCTAGCTATTACCATGGAGCGGGATAAGAATAAATGTCTGGGAAAAAAGGAGAAAACCTTGATTATCTGGGAAAATAAGTGGCTTTTGCCTGATGTTTTCTTATTGCAATATTTCCATCTTGCTGCTTTGAGTAAGTTCAGTGTCCAGACCCCCACCAGAAGTTGGGAGGATGGACAGGAGAACTGCTAAGGAAATGCAGGGCTCCATCCACACAGCTGCATGCTGTCCTCTGTTTTGACAGGAAAGCTAAAACGTCACTCAAGTACCTTCCCTCTGGACTTCCCTTACCCTAGGGATCAGTAGTACATGAGAATGACCCATCCCTCGTGTATTGACATCCACAAACTCATGATTTGTCATGGTTGCAGTTCCTTGAAACTAAACTTTGGGTTTGTGAGAACAACAGGTTCTTCATACTGATCCCCAGTGATATGAATTGCTTTGCCTGGCAGACCGTTAACATCCTCTAAAGTTACAATCATCTGTTTAAGGCCTGGGGCAGATTTTGGCTGAAAATATTTTTTCCATGAACTTACGTACAACTTGTTCCTCTTTTAAAACACAAAAAAGTATTAATATAAAATACATACATTCACACAGATATTCATACACATATGGATATATATTCATATTTTTTTCCTACTTCAAGAATGCATATTAAAGACAATTCAGTAGTCCAATGGACTGTAGATCACAGAGCAGCCAAGTAGACTGGATAATTCTTTTTTCTTGCAAAGAATACAATTAGTTTTTATTGCCACATGCATTAGACAGAGAGTTGTTTTATGTTTCTGAAGCCCACACAGTGCAGCAGATGAATCCAGCATACCCATCTCAGAAAGAAGCTACATTCCTCTTACTTTTATTTGAGATTGAGATGCCAAAAGATGCTTAAGCCTTGATTCTTCGTGTTATAGCACCTTGTTTAGCTTACTCCTGCCCAAAATGGCATGTTATCAAACCAGATGGCTTTGCATTATCTGTCTACAAAGCAGGGAAGGAATCAACATAGAAATCCAAAGCTGAATTTACTCTTTACCACATATATAAACTATTCAGTTTTGGTTTTGGTGATGGAATAGTAATGACAGTGGGGTAGTAATTTCATTTTGAGTTTTATGACCAAAAGGAGGGTCTAAGAAAAAAAACCAGGTATGAAGGTTGCCAAATATATCTTCCATTTATCATTCCAGCTAACAGGAGCTAAATTATTTCTGAGTGGCAGTTTTAAAAGGGAGGGGAGAAAAGCAACATACACTAATGCGTGCAAACATGTAGCTCATGCTACAGAGGTGTCTCTGAGGAGTGGCTGGTTTGGTAAGCCAAAGTATAGTCCTTCCCGCAGGAGAAGTACATTGTGTTACTCATACTGGAATTCTAGTCATGCTGTTGGAGATAAAGGACCTGGAAGCACACCCAAATGGGAACAGTTTCTGTACTAGGGGTAACACGAAAGCAAGTCATTTTTTACAGGAGCTGGAAATGAAGGGACTATTTCTGTCCAGAGTATTTTCACTTGGGGCCCCAGCAATGTTCCAGTCCTTGATAGTGTGCATTATGCTTTTTTTGCAAAGGAAAGAGACTTGTATAAATTTTCATGTCAAATACTACCAGAATTCAGCAAGAAGAAAGGAAAACTTCACCTTTTGCTTTGCCAAAGGAGGTAACTACTGCTTTAGACTGCGTTAAAAAATAGGGCTCTGCTGATGTAACCAGCTCAGGATTTGGCCTGTCATATCCACTTTGTGAGTTTTTTTCAATGCTGTTCTGAAAAGAGTTATGAGTAGATATCCATCCGGTGAATGGAAAAGAAGGTGCTAGAGTCATTTATACTGGACTGCTTTATAATACAATATTTTTCAGCTGCAGACTTACATTTGCTTTTCTAACCATTGCCATTATTATTACATAGTAATTATAATTTACCCGTACAAATTAGTTGGGTAAGAGGAAGGAAATGACATATAAAAAGCATACTGACCGGAACTAAATAGAAAATTCCAAGGAGGAGTCCTTAAAATAAAGAGGTTGTATAATGTTTAATTGTATAATATAAACTGTAATTTCCCAAAGGACATTGTATTAATCTTATGGTGGTTAGCCATTACATTTGGTCCATTTATAATCACTTTGAGCTACTTAAATACAAATTTTAGAAAGGATCAAACTTTTTTTTCCCATTAATAATGCCTAGTGCTTTCCCCACAGCTTATTCATCTCCAAAGCTCTTCTCCAACATTTGCTAATTATTCTTTTTTCTAATTAGTAGAAATTGACTATGGTCAAAAGGGCCATTCAACCAATTAGCACAGTTTTACCTTCAAATCTCAGAGCTTCTGAGCCAGAGCTTTCAAATGGTTGATGAAGATATCACAAAAAGGTTCTACTGAGCCCAGATTAAAGGCAGCCAACTGGAGAAAAAGAAGAAAGAAGGGGAAAAAACCCACCTCAGGGACGTGTATCAAATCTTCTCATTTACAGCTTTCCCTAGGGGCAGCAGCATGAACAATGAAGGGCCAGGGCAAGGGCTCCTCCTGCCCTGCATACAGCTGCGTGAAACCCAGGGCAGGTGGGCTAACTCTGGCATTATTTTGAAGGCTTAAAGACATCTGGTGAAGGTGGTAGCCACCTGTTCAGAGGCTACTTCTGTTCTTGTTGTGCACTGGGTCTAGTAAGGGTCATTCTGGTCTTACTTGAGTGGTGGTTATGTACGTCTCCTGTTGCTGGCTTGCTTTTCCCACAGCCTGAGTAATCATTGTTTTAGCTCTGGTGATTTATTCCATCAGTTTTTAATTAAAAGGTGGCAAACTAAGGTAATACACAGCAAGATGGATTTAGGAAGTGATCTTGGGTTTTTAAAGTCATGTTTATGTTCAAACTGTCTTCTCAAAAAGTGTTTCTTCTGAGTCTTGCCGGTTGCCAAGAGTTGCATTGCTTGCTCTTTAAGCATTCATATGCATGTGCAACTCAGTAGCTCTAACCTATAGGTAGAATAAAACATCTCTGAAAATGTGAAGAAGCTCACCCTGCCTTTGTGTTCTGAATTTCTTTACTAATTCTTCTAAAAAGGCAGCTAAGTGACAAATTGTCATGGAGCACCAGCTTGGTTTGGCTACTTGAGAACAGCTGTGTATGTGAGACTTGTTTATGTTTCAGAAACTGTGAATGTTTTAACCCCGAACAACAGCATGTGCTCCAGGAGATTAATATCTGCATTACATGGACTTGCTGAGAATAAATTAACTCTTGATGACACGATTACTGTCTTAGCAGTGCTCACTGCATACAATTGCATGGTGTCTAAGATATTAATGTGTTTTTGTGAAGAATTTAGGAAACAATTTATTTATATGACTGTGCTTCATTCCATATCACACCAGGGCATCAATTAGCCTACTATCGCCTGTAAGCGAAATGTAAATCATGTGTCTCATTGGTTATGAGGATAATACTGGGCCAATAATTCACAAAGAATAATTCATTCTGTGAATTGTGCTTCATTCTGTGCTCATGAATTCTTCACAAACAGGTACAACTTTTTCAAGTTTTCATTTTTCAAAATATTATGATGGATTCTTCTTGATTACAGTTTACTCACAGGGGTTTTGAATATTCAGGGCTTAGTTTGGAGTGGTTTTGTTTGGTGACCAGTACAATATATTTATTTCTTGACTAAATTGGTGCATTTTTTAGTCAGCTGATTTGTGAGACCTAATGAAAATATCCTTTACAAATTTTTGTAGAATATCATACTTGGGGAAAAACAAAATCATCTGACACTGGCCAGAAACACATGAAAAAGTGAACCTCCAATATGGCGAAAATCAGAGTAAGATTTAAAAAGGATTTATGTAGAGATTTTGAGGAAAACATACTCTAGGAAATCATGTATAAAAACTAGAATCATTCTCAACCCCAGTGCAGCTTGTGAAATTAGGGACCAAAAATTAGTGCCTTAGGAGGATAACTCCAGCCATTTTTAAAAGAAAAATGGTAAAAAAACCCAAACCCCAAACCACAACAACAAACCCTAAGATATGTATGGTCTTTAGTTCCTATTTTTTTTTTTTATTAATTTCTGCACAATATTTGGCTTTAAAAGAAAAAAAGATATGAAATGTTTGACATTTGCATTATTAGGAGACGTGTTTGTGTTGACAGCATGAGAAAAAGGATGAAAAGGTGAATTTTCTAGGAAATGATGCTTTTTGAACAACTTGGAGATGATTTAAGAATTTTCCTTAATACCTTAGCTTCATAAAAGCAAAATAGCAAATACATATGATAAAAAATTAGGTAATTTTTATTTTGCCTTATATAGAGCCTGAAATGATCTTCTTGACCCAAAATTTATCTTTATTTTTGCTTGTAGATGCTGGCACAAATTAGAGACAATTTAACCACGCCAATTTTTGAACCCCTCCTCAGTACAGCATAGGCTCTGGAAGTGAGCTAGCTGTTTTTACCAAGATACTGCATGTGTGTTGAATATTGGATGGAGGGTGGTTGAACCAAATTTTTCTTCCTTTTGCTGAAAATAGATAAGGTAGAAAATTTGCAAGTGTTTCATTTTTATTTTGGTGTTTGATTCATACAGATGCCCAAACCCTTTCTCCTCTGAACAGCCTAAGGAGAATCTGAAATCCATCCTCTTCTCTTACATTGCTAGGCATGCCTTTCCCATGCTAATATGTAAAGAAACTTATTGCACTGAAGAGCATACAGAGTTCATTGCTTTACTGTGACCTTTTCTCCTTTAAATTGTTTCATTAATGTGACCAATAATGGACCAAAAAGAAGATGTAAAAACGTTAGGGACATTTATTTCTAAGAAGGTTAAGCAACTTTTGCTATGCCCTTTTTACATTCTTCCAGACCTTCTAAAAAGAGACTGTAACATGACAGCGATGGCCTCCTTATTTACACTTTGTTGTCAGAGGAAGCATGCTTTAAAAGAACAGTAACCAAACACTCCTATAGCTGAGGATTTCAATAATCTCAACCAGGTTCACAACATTTAGAAAACCCCAAACCTTCTGTCAACTGACTGAAGTGAATTTTATGCATGCAAGAAATAGTCATCTGGCACAAGGTTCTGTGTTTCGGGGCTCGAGCAAAAGGGTCTAGTTTCAGGTTGCCAGAGTTTTGTGATCATTTGGATAGATTTCACAATGGCAATGGCTTATCAAAAAAACCCAAAAGCTAAAGAGCAGTAGGCTCCTGCTGAGCTTGTTTTCAGTAATGTTCATCTCCATAATTAATTTAAATCAGATCCTGAATATTTTCAGGCTAGTACTGAAATCTTACTAACAGCTGAAGATTTAAAAAATTATAGATATCAGTGGAACTCAGGGTGGGTTACACTTTATCTCCTCCTGGCATGTTTTGGTTGGCCAGTGAACCTGGTATCTTTGTTTCTATCACAACTGCCAGTAGCATTGTTCAAAGCAAGGGAGAAAATTGCTCCTGAATGCCTCCATTTTATATTTGTGTAAGTTCTCACATGATTTTAGCAGGGATTGCTGGGGAAACAAATCAGACTTACAGTGGACTGCTATAGTCATATATGCTATATGGACTTCAAGTGCTGTGAAGGTCGGCAAGGGGTAATGCATTGGATTTGGCAGAAGAGTACAATGGGGAGGAAATCCCAAACAGGGGCATGTGTGTTTACCCAGAACTAAAAAAGCTGCTGTCTGTACCTATTCTAGGGTTCCTGTAGCATGCCTATTAGTTAGGTCAATGAACCTGCTGGCCTTTCCTTGCAAGATGAATTGCCTTCACTCAGGACTGTCTGGGGAGCAGTGTAGGCTGTTGTGGCATTTGCAAACAAAAAGGAAGGGGCAGTATGTGACTGCTTCCCTCTGCAAGGACACATCCTGTGTATCCCAGCTTCTGTTTCTGAAGAACAAACATGCCTACAGTCTGCACCAATTTTAAGGTCCTAGGAGCAAAATTTCTAGGCTTCTACTCAGGTCTTAGAAGCAATCAAAAATTAAATTTGTCCCAGAGCAGTCTTTGTAGGTTGCACTGGGTTAACTGTGCATTTTGGGAAAGGCTTGTAGAGCCTCTATAAGTGTCGATGTAGTTCAGATCAATAATGCTCATATTTCAGAAGTCTATTGTCAGCTCTCATTTGCATGATTCTAGATGTTCTCTGGAGCCTAAAGCAGAATTGTCGGCACGGTGTGAGGATTAAATCTTCAGCATCTGAGAAGTGTCTTACAAATGCAACAAGCTAGATACTATACCCTGTGCAGCTGTCACCACAGCCTTCAGGTACTGCTAGGGAGGACAAAGTGTGGATCTGTAGTGATTCCTGAAACAGCCAATCTTAAGAATTATACAGAAAATGTCCAAATATGTGTGGATTTATCCAAAAGGAAGTAAGAAAAGATCCTTGTGAAGATATTTATGCAAGAAAAAAACTGGGAACATTGGTACCATGCTGGCTTGGGAGCCAGGCCATTCCAGCTGGCTTTTGGAGACCACAAACTCTTGCTGCATCACAGCAAGTGAGATTTTAGCCAGGCTTTTTTTCCTTGTGAGGTATGGACCCTAGATAGACATCCAAGCATTTCTTCACTGCAGGCTGCACCATCTGAAGCTATTTGTTTAGGGTCTGTGTTGCCAGGGCTGACTCAGTACGTCTGGGGTGGGAGAAATAGCTGTGACTCCCTGAGCCTACTTCGGGCTGGGTTACTCAGGCTAAGAATCTGGCCTTACCCATTACTTCAGCATGCTGTTTCTTCAGCATATGTCTGTTACTACTGGCTTCTCCGCATTCTCGCTAGTACAATTTGTTACTATCATGTGTCCTAAGTGCAATTTTTTACCAGATAACACAGAGGAAGTTGCCCCTTTACAATTCTGAAACTCTTCTGAGGTTCCCTTCAGTGGATTCAAACCCTATGCACCTCACAAGCATGAATGACTATATTTTGCACTTGAAAATTTTAATTAGAGGAGGGGTTTCATCAATGGTCACAGTAATATTTGCATAACTTAACTGCAGATTAGCAGATTTTATCAACGTGGGGAAGTGTTTGGGAGAGATGTTATATTGCAAGATGGTAGCTGCAAGTTCCCATTTTAGTCCTTTTTGTGTTAGGTACTAGAGGGAAGAGAAGGTAAAGTGAATGAGTAAGTAAAATTTTGAGGCCTGACTGGTTGGGCAAGAGAGTCACACTCGTGGAGCAATAAGCAGCTCCTTCCAGATCATGATGTGCTAGCAATGTTGGGGAAGCAATAACATGGGACTGGCCCAAGTTAATGATATATATTAAAGGAGATTATGCCGATATCAAGGACATGTTTAGTAAAGCATCTATTGTGTGCATCTGTCACCACAACATTCTGGCAAGTGTTGGGAAATATGGAAAGTGTGAAGTAGGAGGAGAAAAACTCGATCTGCATTTGTTGACTGCTTGTTGACAGCAACTGAGTAGAACATTTGCAGAACGCTTTAAATTTTTTTTAATTAATTGTTGGGATTGCTTATGCACAACCAATAAAACCCATTCTGATCATGCTTCTGGCTGCCAAAGTGGGGAAGGATGTTACAAGGAAGGGGTGTGTCTGTGTGCATCTGCAA